TGCTCCTCACGCGTAGTGTACAATCGGCGGAGAATGACGGACGCCAACAGCTTTGACGCTGTTGGGGATAAGGCTTATACCCCTATGATTGCGCGGGCCCTTTTTGAAGATGAAGACAACAATCGATTCCTCCCATGAGGAGGGGACTTGCTCGGTGTACCACACTAGCGAACAGAACTTGTAGTTGTTTCACAAGCTTTATTCCACCATCTTTAAATAGAGCAGGGGAAAGGCCATCGGAGCCCGGCGCTTTGTGACGTCCCAAGGCTTAGATTTCCTCACAGATTTCCGCCTCAGAAGGTGGGTCTGTTGAAACAGACCATGGGACATGTGCCGGAATGGCTGTGTGAGAAGCTGGCGCGGGTGGCCAGCTAAACTGTGCTTTGAAGTGCTCCGCCCAGCGTTCAAGGCGTCGCTGTTGATTATGAATGGGCAAACCGTCAGCTTCGCAGATCGTTTCGCTCACACCTACCGGTGACCCGGATGAGATGGAACAGCTTACGGGAATTAACAATGGCGGTAGCCCGTTTCATCTCTGATGCGCGTTGAAACCACCAGATCTCGCGATTTCTGCGTAGGCTTGCATTAAGTTCACGTCTCGTTATGAGTCGTGTTTCATTATGCTCGCTGCCGGTCGGAATTGACCGACGTGCGTCAAGAAGACGTAGAGACTCTGCAGAGATCCAGGGTGTAACGGCGCGACGTGTTAGACCACAACTAACTAAGTCAGCAGAATGCATAGAACTCTGGATAAGCGATCAGTGCTGGTTGACATTGTCGGGTGGGGTTGGTTCTAGCTTTTTAGCTAGCGCGTTTTGGAAGACAGACAAGCTGGTTTGGATAGCTTATCATAGTTTAACCGTTGTTGTGTCGTGCGTTTGGAACGCCCACCGAAGCACATGGACAGTTTGGCACATACTAATGCGTGGTCGAACTCGAGGGGAGTGCTCCAGTACGATCGGCAGTCTTGGATGCAGCCCCGCCATTTGTGGCTTATAGCGATGTTGTCTATCTGCGTCCGTCTCTGACTCGAGGAGGGCGGACGCCAAGTGGCGTACCGGCAGTTGGAACGCCTGAAGTTCGTACTGGCAAGGAATAAGCAGTGGTCGGAACAGAGAGCCAACAACCATTCCCCGTTTTCGGAGCAACAGGAATCTAGTCCAAAAGGACCACCCAGATGCGCCTCACTCGGAGCCAGTCGACCTACTCGAGCATTCATATCTCCTGCTAAAATCACGATATCAGCCCGGGTCGCTTTACGTAAGAGGTCGTGCAGATTGTGATAAAATTCATCTTTGACTGCATTTAGGCTGCAATCCGTTGGGGCGTACGCGACAAACAAGTCTCGTCTATCGGGGCGAGGACTGTTTACTTTGCACGAACTTCTGAGTCTCACTACACAACCTACGGTCGACTGGTATTCATTCTAGGAGTGCGGTTCAGCTCTCGCACTAAGAGCTACACCAATGACAACAAGACAAGAAGCCTCAGCTTCAGGGTCCCCATATAGATGCAGGTGGGTTTGATGGGGAAGTCAATCGGATACTGCAGCCGGAGTCTTGAATGCGAGTTTCTTGGGTACAACACATCGATGGTTAGGGTCTCGAGCGTGCGAGCTAAGCCCGCCTATGGTCCTATGTTTATCAGAGTGCGCACATATGTTACTGGTTTGAGTGGGCATTGAGGACGAAGAAGGGCTTTAACTGGCGGAGAATTCGGGGAGATTTGAACAGTAGTCGAGGCAGGACACGAGGGAACAGAGATAGAGTTTACATCTGAGGCGCTACTATTAGTACGATCGTCTGAAGAATTT